AGCTCTTAGCATGAGCTGCGCCCTGTGTCCGACCCCTTTTGCGCAGCAACACCTAAAACTTTTAGGCCCTCCAAATTCGGGTCGGAGCGTAGGTAGCGGAGTGGGCCCCGAGTTTGAAAAGGGCGACGGACGCTTGCGTCCTAGCCTCCAACAACGCCTCCCCGGCGCAGAGGGGCCCCCGGAGGGATGCTCAACCGCTCCACGCCACGCCGCTTGCGGCGGTCCTCCTCTTCCCAGCTCCGCTGAGCCTGAGGGCCCGTGCTAATTATTTTTCTCCCGCGAAAGGCATTCGCTCCAGGGTTCCGGCTCCTACCCGGATAGGGGGTCCTGTTGGGACTGACTCGCGCCAAAACGCCCTACCTACCTACCTATCCCCAGGCCGCGCAGCGAAGCGAAAAAAGATGAAAATGGGTGGTACGTACCTATTGCAGGGCCCTTTTGGGCCAAACAAGACCAACCTACCTACCTATCTGGGAGGGGCCAGCCACGGCAGACCCCCTATCCGGGTAGGAGAAGGAACCCAGGGCGACCGGGCGCCCCCCCCCCCCCCTCCGACCACACTGCCTCCGTAGGAATCCTACTATCATTTAACAATGGCCTGGCGCCAGGAGCACGGCAAGCCCGGCCACGCTGCTCCGCTCGACGGCGAGAAGGACCTGTCGTGGAAGCCCGGCGGCGGCGGGCAGGCGGCAAAGGAGCGGGCAAAGGAGATGCGCAAGTATGCCGAGCAGCGCGCCTTGCAGAAGGAGTCGGAGCGGGAGGCTAGGCGGAGTGAGAAGGCTGCGGCGGAGCGCCAGCTCAAGGAGATCAAGGCGGCCGTGACGTCGCTCGACATCAGCGCAGAGGACGTGCGGCCGATCTGCAGGTTTTTCGAGCTCGGCAAGTGCAATAAGGGCGCCAAGTGCAAGTTCCGCCACGAGGCGGCCGCCGCGGCCCCGGAGGGCGGCGCGGACGCCCCCGCCACCGCCTTCGACGTGGTTGCCGAGATGCCTGCCGACGCGTGGCTGCAAGTCCTCTCGCGGCTCGGCGTCGGAGGCCCGCTCGCTGGCAGCCACTACACTAACAACCCAGACCCTCACCAACCCTTGTCGGCCCTGACTAGGAGCGTGCTCGCTGGCTGCAGTCTGCTCTTCACTCGCCGCCATCGTCGGCACGCCGGGCGTGTGGGAGGAGAAGCGCGCGAACGTCTTCGGCGGCGGCGCCGAGAAGAGGGGCGGCGAGGAGAGGGGCGGCGAGGGCGGCGAGGCGGCGGCGAGGCGCGAGTGTTGCGTGAGCGAGGCCTCCACGGCTGGGAGGGGAGATGCCGCGAGGTTGCTCGAGATGACCCGAGATTGCGAGCCTAGGCCTCTCTCCACGGCTGGGCGCGCGCCTCTCTCGAGCCGCCGTCCGAGCTGCCCCTGGGCGAGCTGACGTCCGCCGCGATCGCAGGCTCGCGCGGGGCAATCTCGGGCCATCTATGGTCCATCCCAGGCCACCTCGGTCCATCTCCACCTCCCTCAGGCTCGCTCGGCCTGTCGACGCACCGCGGCAAGATGGTGCGGCTCTGGGAGGCGAAGAGCGGCCGCCGCCTCGGCGCGATGGCGCTCAAGGAGAAGCCGCTCGTCTGGTCGAGCGGCTGTGATCCGTGACTGTGGTTGTCAACGAGCATTCATGAATGGCAGGAGCAGCCATTCGGCTGCGACGTCGGGGTCGTCGGCGTGCGCAAGGGCGCGTGCGACGTGGCTGGTTGTCGGACGGTCGCTGCCGTCGGCGACGTCGACGGCCGGCTGTGCTTGCTCTTCCTGGAGGAGGCGAGACCAGCCGAGATGACCCGGAGATTGCACCGAGATTAGGCCGGCTGTACCTGCTCGATCTGGAGGAGCCGCTCGAGAGCCGGACACAGCGCGGCCCCTTCTCTCCGCGGGGAGGTGGGCTCGCCGCAGCTGTCACTGCTCGCTTGGGGTCCGTCACCTGCGATGAGCACTAGGCGACCCCGCCGGCGGACTGGAGCCGAGGGAGGTGATGTGCAGCGTGGTGCTGCTGCAGGGGACAGGCAGGGCGGGGGCACGGCGCGGGGGCGGGGGCGGGGGCGGAGGCGGAGGCGGCGCCGCCGGTGATGCGGTGGCGGCGGAGGATGCGGAGGCGGCGGATGAGGCGGAGGAGGGGGGCGGGGAGGACGATGGCGACGGCGAGCGAGAGGGAGGAGGAGGCCGCTACACGCCGCTCGCGGAGCCTGTGGTCATCGCGAGTGCGTATCGAGACGGTCCGGCCGCGGTGAGCAGCAGCCCGTTCCTGTGCGAAGTGCCTAAGGTGGTCGGTGATGGCTCGTAGGCCTGATCACGGTGAGCAGCGCGAGCCTCGATGGCTGGCGCTCCGCCGACGCACCGCCCGGCGCGCGGACAGCGCATGAGAGCTGGCGCGGCGCTCTCTCGTTCGATGTGGCGGAGGGCGCGCTCAGTTTCGGCGGGCGAGACGAGCTGCCGGAGCAGGGCGGTTTGGGCCGCCTCTGGCAGTCGGGGCGGCTGCCTCTAGTCTCGCTCGCGGATGGAGGCGTGCAGCGCGGGGCGAGCGCGCTGTACGCGGGCTGGAACTTGCTGGGCGTCGCCATCGACGTGGGGGTTCGGGGGCGGCAGCGGCGGGCGCCGAGATTGGCCGAGCTCATTCGAGACTGCCCGAGGTAGGTGGAGACGGGGCAGCAGCGGTGGGCGTCGAGCCCTACCGCCGAGAGCGCCGAACTCGACGTGTTTGCTGTCGGCGAGACCGGCGAGGAGCCGCCGCCGTGTGTCGCCGGCACGCCCTCGCGTGAACTAGGGGTGGGAGGACCCGGCCCCTTCCCTGATCCTTCTCGGAGCCATGCCTTAGGCGCTCGTCTCGCGAGCTACTCGCCAGGGTGGGGCTTGCTCGCGCTCGCATGCCGGCGCACAGCGGCTCTGCGGGAGCCGCGCTGCGGGTTGAGATGGATTGATCCGCTCGTTCAACGACTCAGGCGGACGGTGGCACTGTGGGACCCTCGCTGCTCGTCGCCCGGACCCGTCGCGTCCGCAACGGCGCCGGCGGACGGGGTTGGCCACGCCCCGTTTCTTGCGCCGGACGGCGGCCGCGCATTTCGCCGCCAGCCATGTCCGTGGCAAGTCCGAGACACGTCCGTGACAGTCCCGCAGGCGGCTGCGTCCACATCGACGCCGGCGTCGACGGCCACTGGAGCGGCCACCTCCTTCATCTGCCCCCCGGCCCAGACGAGGCGATCCATCTGTACGACATCCGCCGGCCCGCCCGCCCACCCGCCGACCAACCACACCTGTCAACATGCCCACCAGCACCAGCACTGATTAGGCTCGGCCGTCCGGCCGCGGAGCGGCGCGAGCGGCGGCGGTCGCCGCTACCTCTGGTGGCGAGCATCTCCGTCGCGCGCCGACACGCCGGAGCTTGCTTCGCCGCGGGCGCGGACGGCCTCGTCGCGGCGGCGGCCGCCGGGCACGACAAGAAGGCGGGTGCGAGTGTGCGGTGGGCGACGGCGCGGCTGCATCTCAGGCGCCGCACGGAGGCTGGCGGCGGCGACGAGGCGGCGGAGGAGGCGGCGGCGAGGGCGGCGAAGGCGAAGGCGAAGGAGGAGGCGGCGGCGAAGAAGAAGAAGCGGGTCGTCACCAAGGGCGGCGGCATGAAGATGAAGCAGGGAAGCTCGGGTCGGACGGGCTAAGTCTCGTCGACACCTCCCAACCGCCAACGCTTTTATTAGAGGATAGAGCGAGTGCCGCCCTCTTTGATTTTACAAAAAAACGCAGTTCACCACCTCCGGGTTTACGATGCGGCCTGGCTCCTCCGAGTTGATCGGCTCGCTCGGGTCGAAGTAAAAGAGGAGGCGCACGCGTGGCTGCGACGCACGAAACCGCACGCGCTGCAGGCGCGACTGCGCAAAGAAGTAGCCAGAGACCTGCTGGACCCACTTCATGCTGCTGCCCTCTCTCCCGTACAGCTCTTCCCTGGGGAGGAAGGCCTCCTCTGCGCCGCACGCCTCCACCGCCTCTCCCTCCCGCGCGGCTCGCATGACGTTAGGCAGCCTGTCGAAGATGGTGCTCGTGATGGCCTTCACCACCAGCTTGCGCACCCTAATGTCGTTGTTGATCGCGGCACACAGGAGGGAGACGTCTCGCTCCTCCATCCGGCGCATCGCTGCCGCCTCGCCGTCGCCGCAGAGGTCGCAGCCGATGCCGCGCAAGCTCGCGGCGATTATACGCGACTGCGCGTCTCTCGTTAACGAGAGGTGGAAGGGGATGCCTTTCGGACCTCCGATGAGGCTGCTCTCGCGGAGGGTGCACTCGACACGGCCAGATGGACAGGCAAAACACGCCGCCGCGGCTGGCGAATACGCCGATAGCCGGAAGGCCCCGGGCAGCAGCCGTTCCATGACGAACGGAGCGACGAGCCAGGCGCGTCCGACCCAGCCGAGGCTAGTGAGCTCGCGGCTGCGCCGGAGCACGTCTGCTCGAAGGAAGCTCTGCACCTGGGGCTGCGGCTGGAGGTCGGCGAAGGGTGGCGGTTGAAGAACGCTGAGCACCACCAAAGCTGCTGGCAAAATCATGCGGTGAAGCCGGGTCGTTGCTTCACGCGCGCTTGGGGTCGGGCTACCATGTCCGACTTCGACACGACTTCGACACACAAGGGTCCACAAAAGAATTTTTGCCTAAGCTCCCTCAAAAACATACACTGAAAAAAGCGCATTGAAAAAGCGCTTACTCGAGTAGTTGGGGGAGGGGGGGAGGGGGGGGAGGGGGGGAAGGGGGGGAGGGGGGGAAGGGGGGGGAGGGGGAAACGACTCCGGTGAACCAGTTGCCGCCAGTGGGCACCAGGACCCGTGGAACCTGCGAAGCGAAGCTCAAAACGCCGACAAACTTAGGCTGATCCGGAGCTTTTTACTACGAGTAGCGACCCTCGGTCGGCGCCGGCGCCGCATAGGGGATAACACGACCGTTTCGCGGCCCGAAATCAAAGCTCCAGCTCACAGCTCACAGCTCACAGCAGCCATGGCGCCCGTGTCCCTCACCGCCTCGAAGTCCTTCACGCCGGACACGCTCGCTCTCTCCGGAGGGCCCTCGAATGAGCCCATCGGCATGAGCAGCCACGAGCTCGCCCTGCTGCACCGGCTCAAGTCCGTGGCCCACAACAGCAACCACGAGGCCGCGCTGCTCGGCGCGCTTGCGCTCTGGGCGGGAACGAGGGCGGAAGATGACGACAATGACAATGACGCCGATGGCGACGCTGCACACGCCGAACCCAGCGCCGCGCACGCCGAACCAAGCGCTGCTGCTGACGATGCCGACGGCTACTTTCAGGGGTCTACTGAGACTGCACTCCGCCGCTGGCTAGTGCACCATTCGCGGGCCCTCTCCACCGCGCTTGCGGCTTGCAAGGCGCAGACTGTCACGGAGAGGGCATCCCTCGCGGCGTGCAAGGCGCAGAGGGAATCTCTCGAGGGGGCGAGCGAGCGCCTCACGTCAGAACTGGCAGCTCGCACTGCGACCGTCGAAAAGCTCCAGCTTACTATCGCGTCACTCGAGGCGGACCTGGCCGCCCGCGCAGACGCCGGCTCTACGGAGGCGGCGCCTGGCGCAGAGCTTGCGGCGAGCTCGTCTCGCGCTGGGTCGAAGCAGGAGACCGCGATGGACACGCCCAGCTGGCTCCGGAAGGCGGAGTCGGACCTGCAGGTCGAGAATCCCGAGCTTCCTCCTCCGAAGGCCCGCGAGGCCGTCCCGGAGCACCCTGATGAGCCCGCGGCGGCGGCGGGGGCGGGCGCGGCCTCGCGGGCGGAAGAGCTGGAGGAGCAGCTTCGCCAGGTGCAAGCCCTGCGCGTCGCGGAGCAGGGTCGGCTCGAGGAGCTCTTCGCTTCTCTACGCGCCACGCTGCAAGACGAGATTCAGGCGCGTAGCCAACGGCTTGAGGAGGTGGAGGCGCTCGAGGCGCGGCTCTCTGCCGTAGAGGCCGAGAGTGCGCAGCGCGCGAAGCTGCTCGAAGAAGCGACGTCGGAGAGCTCGGAGCTGAGGAAGCGGCTGGCGGACGCGGAGGCGGAGGCGGAGGCGGCTGCCCGCGCCAAGGCGCTCTCAGAGGTGGAGGACAAGTCAAAGGAGCGCAAGCTGCAGGAGGTGGAGGCGGGGCTCGCCGCGGCGGCCGCCGCAGCAGAGGAGCGCGTCTCTGCGGCAGAGATGCAGGCGGACGCGGCGCAGGCAGTCGCCCAGGCGGCGCTGGCGGAGGCGCGCCGGGGCCTCGCCGAGCAGGCGGAGCGGGCGGACAGCGCCGAGGCTGAGCTGAAGGGCGCGCGAGCCGAGATTGAGCAGCTTACTCTGCAGCTTCAAGAAGCCATCGTCAAGGCGATGCGGCAGGCGGAGAGCGCGCAGGCTCAGCGCCGCCACTCTGGCGGCACGCGCAAGGGGGCGGCGTGACCTTTGCCAGAGCCGTCCACCATCACTCAACCGGGTGCCATTGTCCGCGCGCACGAACGCGGCACAGGCGCCGTCGCCCCCTTGGCCTTGCACAAACTCACTGGGAGCTCGGCTACCCACGGCGGTCGGCTGGTGGAGGTAGGGGCAAGAGCTGAAGACTCTGCGAAAAGTGCTATCGCGGTTGACATGGCCCGCGACTGTTTTCTGCTCGCACGGAGCGCCCTCCCCCGGGGTGTGCGGAGTGCGACGCACATATAAAATGGGTAGAAGAGCTGAGGCAGGGTACTCAATGTCAATCAATCTATCACCCTAGGAATACGACTCCAAAAGGGCAAAAGGGTTCTCTCCCTAGATTACGGACCTCTCTACCCACGCAGTCCGGGGGTGCGTCGACCACCCCCTTCCATCACCCTCTGCGTGTAGGAAGAGAGCGGCGTGCCGGGGTGGAGGCACGTCCGGGTGTTGGAAGTAAAGACATATTTTACTTTCCCTAGATTACGGCCGGGCTCACGTGTGTTCGGCGTCGGCGCTCAGCCCACGGGGAGGCGATTGTCTGAAAGTCGCCATCCCAGCCTCCCTTGTATGCGCAGGTCTGCGCTCTGCACCGCATGCCCGGCTGCTCATCCCCATCATCGCATGCGCGTCGTGAATCGCGCGCCTGAGACAGCCCGATGCACCGTGCCATGGCCATCGACAGGGTGTCTTGTCCTAGCCAGTGTTGCATCACAGTTGTGCCCGACGGATAATCCTGGTCGATAAAGAAGCAGCTGTCAGGCACGTTGGCGCGCACTGTCGCGACGACTGACAATGAGGAGCCATTGGCGGCAGACTCACAGTTGGCCTTTGGCATGCGCGCACGCAAGCCAGTCAGCGAGGTGCCAGTAGCGAACAACGCACCATTGCAGCCAAGTTTCTTGAGCATCGGTACTGTCAGTCCATCGAGTGCGGAGAGCACACCGCCCATCAGCTCACGCGTCCCCATCAGAGCGAAGTCATGGTACGAGAAAGAATCGTCGCTCTCTGGGCACGCAGTGAACGGATTGAAGCCATATCGGGTTGCAAAGAGTGGCTGTGAGAGTGCCATTGGGCTTGGCAGCACCAGGTCGACTCTCGTCCGCAGCACCGTACTGTACAGTGCCTTGTTGCCCGCCGCCCTCTCGGATGCCTCAATCAGGCGAAGGCACTGTTGCGCTTGGAAGGCATGCACCAGCCGCGACCTGAGTGCATGGCAACTGCCCAGCTCCACGGTGGCAAAGTTGTTATCGGAGAGCTGCCCCTCTGACACAGCAGACCGAAGATTGAACTTGACCTTCGGCAGCGGCGAAGGGATTGCAAGCCGACGGCTGCTTGCCATCAGGCCATCAAAGCTTGCGATTGGAGCCTCTGGATCGTGGTTGCCATTAGTGTCGAACTGAACGTCAGGGTCGTAGAGAACCCAGTTTTGCAGCGACGGCAGCGTCCGAAGCCACTTCTCCGCGTGCTCGAAGGAGATGTCCTTCGGGCCCACATAAAACAGGTCCGCTGGCTGGCTCACACGCATGAGGACGTTCTCGAACAGCGTGGGGAGGGCGATCTGGAAGAGCCGAAGCTGGCCGGTGAGGCAAACGGCCATGCGCCTCCCTCTCTGGGAGAGCTGCCGCTCGCTCAACCTGCGCATCATCTCCCACGCCGGGCAGTTGGGACGCTCCTCGGGGGCGTTGTGGTGGCCCATGCTTGGTCCAGGGAACTTCAGCGTTGGGATGTGTCGGCCGTGCGGGAGAGAAGTGGCGTTGCTGTCGTCGCCGTGCGCGCCGTGCGTGGAGAGAGCGTCCAGCGCGGGCGATGCGCCCGAGCCTGCATGCGTGTGGCCATGTTGTGTCGCGTGCATGTGGCCCAGCGGCCTTTTGACCGCGCCGCTGCCTTGGTCCCTGGGGCTGCGCGGAGATTGTAGCGCCATGGCAAGGAGTGTAGCCACGAGGACGAGCTGCATCGCATCCCGGAACCCGAAGGAGCAGGCGGCTGCCTCCGGCGGCGCAGCCTCGAGCGCCTTGCGCGCACGTGCATAGAGGAGGCCCGCGCTAAGCGCCGCCGTGCACCCAACGATCGCCTCCAGGCTCGATGCCTCGCCGAGCACGACGATGCCTAGGGCCACGTCCGGTGTCACGAAGTTTGGTCAGCGTGACAGCGGGCCTCGGGCGGTCTGTGCGAGTGAGAGCGACTCGGGCGGTCCACGCTGCGCATCTAGGTGCAAAGCGCGCCAAACGCGACGACGGCAAACTTGTTCGAGTTGTTGAGCACGAGCACGGTGGTGGCGCTGACGAGGCGTTGCACGTTGATGCCAGCATAGCTGATGGCCATGCCGACGACGCAGCTCAGCAGCACCACCGCCCAGCCCTCCACTCCGAGCTCGTCGTTGGAGATCACCGGGCCGAGCTGCCGCGGCTCGCCGCACGCGACGCAGAGCGGCACCAGCAGCAGAGCGCCGATGCCGTTGCTGGACTGTCGCAGGAGATTGGGTACGAGGACGCGCACAATGACTGGCAGTTCAACCCGCAGTTCAACCCCACACCCACCCCCACACGACAGCCCCAACCCACCCCAGCACACCTAGTATCACTCTCTCCCCCCCCACAGTGATGAATGGTCTACCTATGTCCCTATCCCGATATCCCTACCTTCCCCACACCTCAGTCGTCTTCACACGACTGCTGCCATCGCAGGGCAGATTCTAGAGCAGATTGTGAATGAGCTTGGCCGTCGGTGAGCACCGGACGCGAGGGTCGGTCGGCTCTTAACTAGCTGTATATAGTCGCGATCTGCCGGCGTGCGTATGAGCTCACTAGCTAGAGCTCACACTAGAGGCCGTCATCGCATTCGCCTTCCTGGGACCCAGCGCTGACTTCTGACTGTCGTTGCTGTCTCTCCCCCTTCTCGACTGTCTGTGCTTGTGCGTCTTGGGTGCGGAGTTGTGCGTTTATGTGAATGAGCTTGCCTGCGGGCGAGGGCGATCGAGTGCACGGAGCTAAGTGCCTCGCCGTCCTCGCAGGAGTCGCTTGCGGCTCCCGTAGTGTACCTGTGTTAGTGCCAGTGCGCGCCAGTCCCGTGCCCAGTGTCGTTCGTCAATGATCTGGCTCCTCTGCGCCCCGGCCTCGTTCGCGCAGCCCAAGCCCGGCCTGCTCTCCAGCCTCGCCGCCACGGAGGCTCCTCGACCCGCCTCGACGATCATCCCGGCCCGCGACAGCACCTCCGCCTCTTCGCGCATCTACTTTGACGTGCTCACGCTCAGTTCGCCTCGCGCAAGAGGCTCCGCCGCATTCAAGGGGAGCCCGCTCGGAAGGCTCGTCTTCCGGCTGAGCGGCGCGGCCCTGCTGCCGCAGCACAGCGCCAACGTGCGGATGCTCTGCACCGGTTTGCGCATACAGTGCGGTATCTCTCTGTGTGTGGCCACGTGTCGTACCGCGTCCTTCGGAAGTAGGCGAGAGGACGGGCTGCGCCTACTCCTACTCGTGGTGCCGCTTCGAGCCGGGCGCGCCAAAGACGCGTGGCCACCATGCAGTCCTGCGCGGCAAGGGGCGGAATGCTGTCGGCAGATCGGACTCGCTGATCTCGGACGACAAGTCGCTCTCCCGCTGCGAGCGGCCGCTGGTCGGCGGGGGTGCCTACTACGGCGTCGAGTTGGACTCGGACGATGCGGCGACCGACACGGTGCTGGCTGTGCCGGTTCGCGGCGCCGGCAAAGGCACATCCCGCCTCTCCTTCCTCACTGGCCTCGCGGGCGCTCCAGAGGCGACGCGGAGGAGGCTGCTGCTCGACCAGGCGGTGATCGGTGTAGCCGACGGAGGAGAGACGGCGGAGGCGATGCACGCCCTCCTCGCGGGGCTGCGCGAGCGCAAGGCGGTGGCGGTGTCGAGCTGTGGCGAGCTCTTTGAGAATGGCAGCACCTCTGCCATCCGGTGCATGTTTGTGCCAGCTCCCGAAGAGGACCTGCCGGATGACGTACCGCCCGCGAGCTGACGGTGGGGTTTTGTTGTAGAGACACCGTACGAAACAACACACAGACTCCAATACACAAGACCAATACTCAATCTCATGGAAGATGGACCGACAGAGGAGAGAGAGAAACTCAGTAACTCACTGACACGGTGACAGGGCGAGGCTGGGGAGAAAATCTAGCTGTGGACCGGATCGAGTGCCACATGCTCAAGGTATTTCTACATGCGAGGTTGCAGGTGAAGGAGGCGCAAAGGTGCGTCACCAAAAAGCGCACCACCCGACGTACAGCTGGCACAGGTTGGAGTTGGAGCGCGCCTCGGCGATGAGGCGCTCGACCTGCGTCGGCACGTTGAGCGGCTCCGGCGCGAAATCCTCGCCGACCAGCTTGTCGCGCACCCGCCGCAGCACAGCGCGCGCGCGCGCGTTGAGGGCGTCCTCGTCCTGGTTGCCGCCGCCGTCGTGCGCAATCGACTCGTGCATCATCGTCGCCACCTACAGCGGGTCCGAGAGGGCTCAGGGAAGGCTCCGCGAGCGTGATGGGCCCCTGCACCACGGCCGCCACCGAGACGACCGAGCGCGAGATTGGCTGGTGCGAGAGCGCCGGGTCGGACGACTCGAGCTCGATGGTGGCGATGCCTTCGCCGAGCCCGGACGATCTCGCACGCTCGCGATGCCTATGCCTCGGCCAACCTCGGGTGCTCGCCGGTACTCTCGGGCACCCGCTCGTGACGCAGCTGCTGCAGCGAGGTTGGTCATCTCGGGTCATCTCGGGTCATCTCAAGTCGTCTCGGGGCATCTAGGGTCATCTCACCGCTGCTGCAGCCGGTCTGAGGTGGTCGTCAGCACGACCGACCGGCGAAGCGAGCCCACGCGCATCACCGGCCCGCCGCTGCGGCGCGGCGCCTCTCCCTCCGCACCGCGCTCGCCACTGACGCCGACGCCGCCACCGCCGCCTCCGCCGCCTCCGACGCCGCAACCGCCGCCTCCGCCGCCTCCGCCGCCGCCGCCGCCTCCGCCTCCTCCTCCTCCGCCGCCGCCGCCACCGCCGCCGCCACCGCCGCCGCCCGCCGCGCCTGCCCGCAGACCGACCGGAGACCGCCTCCGCTCGGGGCGGGCGGCGCCGCCGGCCGCAGAGCGCACCTCCGCACTCGCACTGGCTCGCGAGCCGAACGGCGACGTCGCACCGCCCGCGCGCGCTCCGAGCGGCGAGCGGCGCCGCTCGGTGGGTCGGCCCGCCTGTGTGGGAAAGCTCCGAGAGGATTCCGAGACGGTCCGCAGGAGGGCTTGCTGGTCGGGGGGTGGGTCCGCCTGCGGGGACGCGCCCCCCGAGGTCGGCGCCTCTTCGAGCGCCTCGTGCTGCACGGCCTGCGGGGGGCGCAGCCGGCGTGTCGATGGGCGGGCGAGACTACCGGAGATACCCAGAGGACCTGCCGAATGAGCAGCCGCCAGTTGATGAGCGGGTCGTGCACGAACGCCTGAGACACGCCGCCGACGTGTCGCGGACGTGCCGTGGGTGCGGCCTGGCTTTGCCGCGCGCGAGCGCCTCGAGCATCGCCATCACCGAGTCCTTGTTGCGGCGCAGCACGCCCATCGCGGCGATGCAGGTCGCGCGGAAGGTGCCTGTGGGGCATACCGCGGACGTGTCGAGGACGTGTCCCGCGCATGCCTCCGGACGCCGAGCAGAAGGTGCCCTCGACGCCCGACACCTCCATCGCGGCGACCAGCATTCGCGTGAGGCGGAACGGGATCTTCTCCGGGAACTTTTCGCGCTGGACAGCAACCTCAAAGCAGTCGCCAAAATCGATGTGCCTACTCGCAGCCGGCGGCGTGAGTAGGCGCCGTTCACGCACCTCGAAGCAGGCGCCAGAGTCGGCGTGCAGGATCTTGGAAGTGAGCCGGTCGAGCATCACGTTGGAGGGGTGCCGGTCGCCGAGCCCGAGGATGTAGCCAACCATGGACATGACGGCGAGTGAACGCGTGTAGTTTGTGCGGCGGAGCAGCCAGTCCTCGGCGTTGCTCGACGAGAGCCAGAGCACGCGCGCCACATCGTCGCCCGGCGTCTGCGCGAGGGCGTGCTCGAAGGCCTAGAGGCAGCAGGGGCGGAGCGATGAGCAGTGCGTGGCTCGCAGCTCGTGCGGGGCGCGTGATCGAAAGCCTCGAGCTTGTTCAGGAGGGGCAGCTGGTCGTAGTCCGGCGCGAGCTGAACCATCAGCCGGTGCTCGACGTTGAGCGGCATCGCCTTGCGGCCGTCGCGGTACGCCTTGATGAGCGCGTGCAGCGTGTCGCAGGCCGCCACCCACGAGATGAGCCCGGAGTTGGGCGAGAGCGGGACGACAGAGTACCGCTGGATGCCGAGGTCGAGGCGCGCGCCATCGTCGGTCGAGGCGAGGAGCGCGTTGACGAGGCCGAAGAGCTGCATGACGCGCTCGTCCTGCCGCAAGTCCTCGTGCCCCTTGAGCAGGAAGTCGTGCAGCGAGCCGTCGTCGCCATACACGCTCAGCTTGCGCGGCCGCTGCTTGGAGCCGATCACAGACATCGACCGCGCGAACGAGCCGATCCGCACGACGGGCGCCGTCGCCTCGTACGTGCCCGGCACGGCGAGCTCGAGGTCTCTTGCCTGCAGCAGCCGCGGCGACGCGTGCGCCAGCTCGATGGACGTCATCCGGCCGATCTGCTTGGTCAGCCAGCCAAAGACCGTCGAGTACAGCTCCCACGCGGACTGCAGCTCCTGCCGCGAGCGGCCGCCGAGCCGGTATCGCTCGCAGTGCTCGTGCGCCGCGCGCAGCTCCGCGCCGTAGGTGCGCAGGAAGTCGTTCTCCTCCGTCGTCACCGGCCCGCGCGAGATTTGCGCGTGCAGCGGCGCGAGGGCGGCGAGCATCCCGTCGACGTCGGACGCCTGGAAGTAGAGGCGCGACGCCTCCTCGAGCGCCGCGTGCCAGACCTCGTGCCACAGGATCGAGCAGCGGATGAGCTCCGTCGAGACGAGCGCCGCCTGCTCGACGAGCGTGTCGTTGGCCTTGCGCACCTCGGTGAGCACGCGCAACGCGGCCGTGCGGCGCGGCAAGAGAAGCGACTTGGACGCGACGGTGAGCGGGTAGATGAGGCCCTGCGGGTGCGTGCGCGCAACCTCTGCGAGGAGGCGGTTGACAGAGCGCCTACGGGGATGTTCCGCGAGGGCTCCCGGAAGGCCCCCGAATCGCTCCTCGCGAGGAGGGCGGTGGACGGAACGCACCGCACGAACGGGTTGGGCGCGTGGATGCGCGCGATGATCTGCGGCGTGACGAGCAGCCACAAGTCGGCCGAGATGTCGTCGCAGCCCGCCTGCACCGCCGCCTCGACGTCGGCGCGGTGGCCGTGCGTGAACCAGAGCGTGAGCAACCGCAGCAGGTCCTGCAGCGCCGAACCATCTCGGGTGAGTGCGGTTGATCGCGGCTGATCTCGGCTGATCTCGTCCACGGCTCCTGCAGCGCCGCCTCGCGGCCGAGGGCGATCGAGCGGAAGAAGCCGCGCACCGCAGGCACCTACACGGCCGAACGGCACCCGAGATGCAGCCGAGGGACACAGCCGAGCTTCTGGCCGCGCGCCAAGGCCACCACGAACTCGGCCGCGTCGGACGGCGGCAGCTGCTGCACCGCCTCGAAACTCACCATCGCCCAGGCGTGCCACGCCTTGTAGCTGTGCGGCGAGGCATCTGTCGCGTTGCCGAGCGAGGCCAGCACCGTCGCCGCCCGCTCCACGCTGAACGGCTGGTCCTCGCCCACCGCGCGCTGCCAGCCGCCAAGCCGGCGCCACGCCTTTGCGGCGAAGGCGGTGCCGGCCGCCTCGTAGCGCGCAAAGGTCGCCAGCCGCGCGATGGCCTCTTCGCGCGACCCGTCGGCCCACATCTGCTTCAGGTAGCCGTACGTGCCCGCGTGCCGCTGGGCGCCGTCCACCGTCCCGCCGGCATACGCCCTGTCGCCACCCAAGCCGCCGCCCAGGCCGCCGCCCGCCCTCGAGAGACCGTCGATGGAGGGGGGGAGCCGCGGCGGGCCGGGGAGGGTGCCCACGGGGAGGGTGCCCGTGGGGAGGGTGCCGTCGGAGGAGGCGCGTAGGTAGGCGGGAGGGGAAGCTCGGCCGCTCCCGCAGGCGCCGGCGCCGCCCCCGCGGCTGGGGGGCGGCGAGGCGCTGTCTGCGTGCACGACGTGCGCCGACGCGGCGGCGGCGGCGGCGGCGGCGGCCGAGGACGTCATCTCGCCGGTGGAGCGCAGGAGGGCGGCGCCGCCCGCGAGGAAGGAGGCGGTCGTAGAGGGCGAGTGGTCGGGGCTGGTCGGCTGCGTCACCGAGGCGTGCGCCGCCTGGCGCGGCATCCGCTCCCAGTGGGCGTCCCAGTCCTCGCCGAGGATCTCGGAGAGGATCTTGTGCCCGAGGGCGCCGCGGCCCGACTTGCGGCACAAGTTTGAGAACTTGAGCCACGTCTGCGGGTCGCGCGCGGGCGGCGCGACGAGGGCGCGCACCGAGAGGATCTCCTGCCAGACGTCGGCCGAGCGCTCTGCCTGCAGAAGCCGCCCACGCCAGACCGAGAGGAGGAGCGGGAGGGGCATCGCCTCCGGGTCGGCCTTGTGGAGCAGGATCTCCTCGAGCTCGGCGAGCTGCTGCACTTGCACCGTCGCGCGGTAGGCGCGGTGGTACGACTCGCCGACCAGCGCCGTCAGCTCGGACTGCAGCAGCTGCTGCGCGGCGATAATGTGGGCGCGCGCCTCGCTGAGCCGCGCATCGTGCGTCGCCATGACCGCCTTGAAGAAGGCCGTCTCGACGGTGTCGGGCCGCATCGCCGCGACGTAGCGCGCCATGCTGCCCCACTGCTGCAGGTTCCACGCGCCGCCCGCGGCGAGCCGCGCCGCCTCCGCGCGCAGCTCGCCTGTTCCCACCTCAGCCGCTCAGGAGGGGTGGAGAGAGCCTGGTGCGGGGGTCAGCGTTGACTCGCCGCCGCTCGCGTCGAGAGCCGGGTCCAGCCACGCCTCGGACGCAAGCTGGCAGAGTCTCCTCCACTCTCCGAGCGCGTGGAGGCAGCGCATCGAGCCGAGCCGCACGGCGATGCTGCCGCCGGCCGCGCCGCCCTCGGCCGACTGCGACATGCGGTCGTACGCCGCGAGGGCGTCCGACCAGCGGCCCAACTTCTCGTACCACGAGACGCGCGGCTCTACGCCGAGGTCGCGCGAGAAGGCGAGCACGCCCGCCGCCGCCTCGGGCAGCTGCAGCTGGTTGTTGATCGAGATGAGCGACTCGATGTCGGCGGCGGTCGCCGTCGCCTCCTCGGCCGCCGCCGCCGCCGCCGCCGAAGCGCCGCTCGCACCGGCGCCAACCGCGCCACCTCCACCGCCGCCGCCGCCGCCTCCGGCCGCCGCCGCCGTGCGCGGCCCCGGCGCGTGCGTCCACCCCATGTCGCGCCCGGGGGGCGCCTGCGTGACGGCGGCGTGCCGGAAGGCCGCGTGCGTGAACGACATCTCTCGGTAGTGCGCCGCCTTTGCGTAGGCCTGGCAGCGCTCGGCCAGCGACCCGAGCTTGCGGACGGGGATGGGGAGCGGCTGCAAGTGGAGCTCCATGAAGTCGGCGAGGTTGAGCATCTTTTGCAGCACCGCGGGCGGCATGCTCTCGCGCTCGAGCGCCGCCTCGACCGCCGCGGCGAGCAAGCCGCACCCGTCCGGGGTCAGCTGCGACCAGCAGGAGAGGAAGGCGGCGTTGAGCAGCTCCTGCGCGAGCGGCGGGTATGCCTGCGCGGGCAGCAGGCACGCGCGAAGCGGCTGCGCCGGCGAGACGCGCAGCAGCTCGAGCGCCTATTTCAGGTTGATGGTAGTGAATCATCGCACCTATCAATGAAGAGTGGGGCGCGCAGCTGCTCGAGCGCCAGCCGGCGCAGCCACTCCGACCACTCGTCGCGCGTCGCACGCTCCGCCGCACCCGCCCACGCCGTCGCCAGCGCGGCCGCGTCCACCGCCGGCGCTGCGGTGGACGAGCCGCCGGCGCCGTCCTCGCAGCCAGCCTCTGCGCCGTCCAGGGCGGCGGTGGCGGCGGCGGCCGCCGCTGCCATCGTGCCGACGGACGGCGCGGCGGGCGGAAGGGCGAAAGAGCCGGCGTCGAGCGAGGCGGTCGGAGC